TGATGGTCTGCAGATCTGCCCCGGCCTGCGCCCCGCGGTACTCGGCCGAAACGGAGCGCAAGGGTGCGTCGGCAACGTACCTCATGATGACATTGCTCTCCCAACGCGCCATAGCCTGGATGCTTAAGAGTGGGAGGCCCCGGGCTGCCATCATCTGGGCACCAGAAACACGGAGGGTATGCCCACCATAGAGGCGGTTGCCCCCTGGGCCCGTCAGCGGCAAACCCAGCATCATCGCGACCCTCTCGACGGCACGGACCACCGTCCGCTTATCGACCGCAGCGCCCTCAGCATTCGGAAAGAGCGGCAGACTTGGCCGCGCTGCCTGATCACCAAAACGGCCCTCCAAGAATTCCAGCTGAGCTTTCAAAGCGTGGGCCGCACACAGTGAAGAAGTACCGCTGCATACGCACTCCCAAATACGAGTTTTGCCGAGAGCCATAGGGTCAGTCTTGGAGCACGGCAACAACCACTCCACGCACATTACGTCGGAGCGGTAAAATATAGTGACGTGCTCACGTAATGCTAAGCTCGCCTCAATCTCACGGGCCATGAAGAAAGAGCCGGCCACGAGAAGGTTCCAAATACCAAGCGGCCCACGCTCGACGAGGGGCTCGTATCCGATACCCAGCGCCCCAGCCTCCGCAATGGGCAACGCCAGTGATTGTCGAGGCGGCCCGATGCCAAGCGTGGCGCTGGAGCTTGCGAGCCGCGTGGCCCTTCCCAGCGCCATCGACCACGGGTGGCCCTCCTCAATGTGGAGGTCCTTCACACGAGAGAGGTAGTTGGCTGCCGAACGGTATCGCCCTGCCTTCAGCATTGCGGGCACCGCGTAAATCTTCTCGACCGTCAGGGGGGGGACAGGGATCGATTCGGCATGGCCTGCGCCGCCTGGGTTGAACCACTCATCGTGGAAAGACTGCCAGCTCTTGAGATAAGAATCTCGCGGCTGCGCCGCCGAGGCCGCGAACCGATCCGCCATCAAAGCCTGCAGAGCAACGGCCCTGGCCTCTCCAGACGCAGCGGCGCGCATCGCGAGCTCCCGCGACCCGCGCTGCGAGGGCGCCGACGTCGGTGCATCTCTGCGCGCAGCCAGCGAAAGGCCTGACCGAACATCTGCCGACGACCGCGATCGCGACCTACCCTGGGCAGCTGCAGGGCCAGCTGCACTTGGGCCCGGAGCCTGAGGAGGTGCCGACAACGCGGCCACAGCCGCCCCCGGGAGTGTCGTCGCAGGACGCGGTGCCCCATGATCACGAAGGCGACGCACACGAAGAAGCTGGAGGTGAAGCGGCCGGCGGCAAACTCGAAGAGGACTGGCCAGCGAACGACGCGCCCGCAGCGTCCCCAGGCGACCCAGCAACAACCTCGTAGCGAATGCGGACCAGGCTGGGCGGCCCGCGCCTGCCTGGCATGGCAGGAGGGCGAGCGCTAGAACCAAAATGACTACGGAAAGCCTACGCCTAACGCCTAACTCGAATCTGCGGCCGCGGGCACAAAACCCCGTTGACCCGAAGACGGGAGGCAGCGCAGCTAATGGCACGCCCTGCCATCGCGCGCAACGCACGCGCAAAATGCGCTAACGACAACGGCCGCGCCGCGGCCCACGTGGCCCCATGACGCCCGGCCATTCGCTAGCGCGGCAGGTCTCCTTTTCTTCCCCTGCGGCGGACAACCACCGACTCAGCGCGCAGCGAGCGCCGTGCCCTGCTGTCGAACGCAGCGCGCGCGCAGGAAAACAAGTGGCACGTGTGCCATGGCTCTTGCACAAAAAGGAAGGGGGAGGAGGAGGATGTGGAGGAGGAGGGGGGGGGGGAGAGGATGCCAGACATCGCAGAAGGAGTGAACAAAACAGGGCCGCAAGAGGGGCTCCAGAGGGCGAGCGCGAGGAGACTCCAAGGGCCGTCCCCCGCAAGATGGCTTCAAAGACCTTTGACGGGTTCGCAGGAAGCCTCCAACTGACGCCCGAGAAGCCTACAGAGGGTTCCAAGGGGAGGCCTCCAGGGTCCAAGGAGGGCTGGAAGAAATTACTGAGCGGACTCAGCTGCTGGGGGCTCGCGGTGCGAAGTGCGCGGCGGCCTTGTGTTGCGAGCGCTTGTCCAAGGCAGTCGCTTTGCACGCAGAGTCTGTCGGGCGCATTCTCGGGGGCCGGCTATGCGCCACTTGAATGGGGGCCTCCCCCGCAGACCAGACTTTCGGCCCGGGGCGGCGGCGGCGACGGCGACGCGGCGGCGACGGGGCTGGAGCCGCGCGGCGCGCGAGGGGGCGGGGGGGAGGGCGGGGGCGGGCTGAGCGGGGGGGTGAGAGGGGGCGACGGCGGCGACGGCGTCGGCGGCGGCGCGGGAGGTGCGGCGGCGCGAGCGGGACGGCGCGGGGCGGTGGGAGCACTGGGCGGGCGCTGGAACCGCGGGGGGGCGCTGAGACGGCGCGGGGGAGGAGGCGGAGCGGGGAGGGGGGGGGTGCGGTGCCGAAATAAAATGGTCGGGGCGGAGGGGGCACTGGGCGGGCGCCGGAGCCGCGGGGGGGGCGCTGAGACGGCGCGGGGGAGGGGGCGGAGCGGGGGAGGGGGTGCGGTGCCGAAATAAAGTGGTCGGGGCGGAGGGGGCGCTGGGCGGGCGCTGGAGCCGCGGGGGGGCGATGAGACGGCGCGGGGGAGGGGGCGGCGGGGGGGGGGGCGGTGCTGGGGGGGCGCTGGGCGGGCGCTGGACGGGGGGGCGCTGAGACGGCGCGGGGGCGGGGGGGGGCGGAGCGGGGGGGGGTGCGGTGCCGAAATAAAGTGGTCGTCGGGGCGGAGGGGGCACTGGGCGGGCGCTGGAGCCGCGGGGGGGGCGCTGAGACGGCGCGGGGGAGGGGGCGGAGCGGGGGGGGGTGCGGTGCCGAAATAAAGTGGTCGGGGCGGAGGGGCAGGCACTGGAGCGCGCTAGCCGCGGGGGGGCGCTGAGACGGCGCGGGGGAAGGGGGCGGAGCGGAAGGGGTGCGGTGCCGAAATAAAGTGGTCGAGGCGGAGGGGGCACTGGGCGGGCGCTGGAGCCGCGGGGGGGCGCTGAGACGGCGCGGGGGAGGGGGCGGAGCGGGGGGGGGGTGCGGTGCCGAAATAAAGTGGTCGGGGCGGAGGAGGCACTGGGCGGGCGCTAGAGCCGCGGGGGGGCGCTGAGACGGCGCGGGGGAGGGGGCGGAGCGGGGGGGGGGATGCGGTGCCGAAATAAAGTGGTCGGGGCGGAGGGGGCGCTGGGCGGGCGCTGGAGCCGCGGGGGGGCGCTGAGACGGCGCGGGGGAGGGGGCGGAGCGGGGGGGGGGTGCGGTGCCGAAATAAAATGGTCGGGGCGGAGGGGGCGCTGGGCGGGCGCTGGAGCCGCGGGGGGGCGCTGAGACGGCGCGGGGGAGGGGGGGCGGGGGGGGGGCGGGCGAAGCGGGTGGGCGGGGCGGTTTTGCCGAGTAAAGTGGTCGGGGAGGAGGGGCACTGGGCGGGCGCTGGACCGGGGGGCGCTGAGACGGCGCGGGGGAGGGGGCGGACCGGGGGGTGGGTGCGGTGCCGAAATAAAAGGGTCGGGGCGGGAGGGGCACTGGCGGGCGCTGGAGCGGGGGCGCTGAGACGGCGCGGGGGAGGGGGCGGAGCGGGGGGGGGTGCGGTGCCGAAATAAAATGGTCGGGGCGGAGGGGGCGCTGGGCGGGCGCTGGAGCCGCGGGGGCGCTGAGACGGCGCGGGGGAGGGGGCGGAGCGGGGGGGGGTGCGGTGCCGAAATAAAGTGGTCGGGGCGGAGGGGGCACTGGGCGGGCGCTGGAGCCGCGCGGGGGCGCTGAGACGGCGCGGGGGAGGGGGCGGAGCGGGGAGGGGGGGTGCGGTGCCGAAATAAAGTGGTCGGGGCGGAGGGGGCACTGGGCGGGCGCTGGAGCCGCGCGGGGGCGCTGAGACGGCGCGGGGGAGGGGGCGGAGCGGGGAGGGGGGATGCGGTGCCGAAATAAAGTGGTCGGGGCGGAGGAGGCACTGGGCGGGCGCTGGAGCCGCGGGGGGGCGCTGAGACGGCGCGGGGGAGGGGGCGGAGCGGGGGGGGGGTGCGGTGCCGAAATAAAGTGGTCGAGGCGGAGGGGGCACTGGGCGGGCGCTGGAGCCGCGGGGGGCGCTGAGACGGCGCGGGGGAGGGGGCGGAGCGGGGGGGGGTGCGGTGCCGAAATAAAGTGGTCGGGGCGGAGGGGGCACTGGGCGGGCGCTGGAGCCGCGGGAGGGCGCTGAGACGGAGGGGGCGCATGATGATGATGATGATGATGATGATGATGATGATGATGATGATGATTGATGATGATGATGGATGATGATGATGATGGTGATTATGATGGTGATGATGGTGAGGATGATGTGATGATGATGATGATGATGATGATGATGATGATGATGATGATGATGATGATGATGATGATGATGATGATGATGATGATGATGATGATGAAGGGGGGGGGGGGGGGTGCGGTGCCGAAATAAAGTGGTCGGAGCTCTAGACACCCTGTGCAAGAGAATAACAAATCATACAATGAGGCCGCGCCGCGGTCCACGCGTGTGACCCCATGGCACTGGCCCCGCCGATGCCGCGGTAAACGTACCCATGACACCGGCGCACGCCCAGGCATGACATGGGGTCGCGCATTGCGGGCCCATGCCGCGGCCCACGCGACCCCATGGCACGCGGCCCCGCCGATGCCGCGATAACCGTGCCCAAGACACCGGCATGCGCACTGGCATCACATAGGGCCAATGCCCAGGCTGGGCCGCGGTCGCAGCGACCCATAGACCCCGCCGCCGAGCATGCCGCGAGAAACCCGACTCACACTTTTCAGACCCACTGCAACCCCCCCCTAAGGATCCTTAAGGGGGGGGGGGTCCCGAAGGCAGTTGGGAACAGCGTGGCGAGGAAAACGCACAGCGGCACCGCAAGCTCCGCCAACTATGCGCCCATGAGCGCCGCGCAGACGCCAGCGACTTAGCCTGGGGGCGTCGCGAGGCATCATCACTGATACTGCATGCCGCACTCCCCGCCAATCCCAAGCTGCTCCGCGGAGTGCGCTGGAAGTCCCAGCCGCCAAAAGGAAGATTCACGTGGGGGGACCGTGACTTCGAGCAACGGCGGCAGGGCGGATGGAATGTCCCGCTCCTTGTAGCCTGGCTGATGTATGCGGCTCAGGCGGTCAGCCCAGCCGGACGCCACTCCTGGCGCGTGCGACGCGACGTCTGGCCGGAAGGCCGCGTCGCCCAAATCGAGGGCCAACTCGCGGGCGAGCCGCGTCAAGGCTGGGCTGCTGGCCTTGAGAGATGCCACCAACGTCAATGCTGTAACGTTGTCCGCGCGGACTTCGAGCTTGACCCTGTTCTGCATCCACTCGGCCTTCCAAATCCGGAGGGCGACCACCAAGTTCAGCGCTTCCCAGTACTGCTGCCCGGCGGCGTCGCCAATGCGATAGCCGGCTTCCGCAGCTTCTGCCTCCGAGATTTTTGCAGCATACCGGCCCTTGATGACGCCGTCAACGACAATGAAGGAGCCGAAGCCCCAAGGAGAAGCGTCTCCAACGATGCGAATCGCAACCCCCTGGTTCAAGAAAGCGTCGAGGCGGCAGGTGGTGCAAATGGAGCCTTGCTTGCCCGTCAAAGAAGCCTCGATCCAGGGCAGGGCCGGGCGGCACTGCGACGTCCAGATGCAGCGCGGGGGCGCCTTGCTATCGCCAGAGCCTGCGCTCTTGAGCGCACCCCAGATCTCGAAGAGGAACGGCCTCCACACGTGGACGAGCGAAGCAACATGGCTTGCAACGCCCGCGAACGAACGCAACGCCTTCACAGCAATGACGTTCGCCCTCAGAAATCCACGTACGGACGCCAGCAGGTCATCCAATTTGTCCTGGGGAATGGACACGACAACCCGGTCGCGCTCGGCGGCCATGTGGGCGCCGATCCAGACAACGGCTGGCCCCCGCGCCGCTTTTCGGAAAGCCAGCGGAAACCCCAGCAGACGCCAGACGATGACGAGCTTGGCCACCAAGACGTCCAACTGCGCCGCCGAGCCGCGCATCGCCAGAACCGGGTCGTCCACGTAGAGCTGCAGACGCGCCCTGGGCCTGCTGGCAGGAGCCCCGCACGCGCAGAGCACACCCTGCAATAAGCGCAATGCGAGTGACGCCACGCCGGCCCATGTGAGAGGCCCATTGCGAGACCCCTGCGCCGCGCGCAAGAAGAGGTAGAAGTCCTCGCCGAAGGTGCCCACGAAGTACCGGCGCTCGTCGTCCCGCAGCGGGATGTTCCAGAACGCGTCGGAGAAGTCAAGCACCAGCCACACGAAGCTTTCGCCGTCCACGATGTCCGCCAAAACGAACAACGCGTCCGACACGGCATCGGAGACCCGAGGGAGCACGACCCTGTGCGTCTTGGCAGTGCGCGCAGACATCCCAGACCGCTTCAGGTCGAGTGAGCCTGCGCTTGACGCGCCCGTTTCGGACCTTCTCCAGGACCACGAACCTCGACAGGACGGGCTCGGCACCCAAGTGCTTCCGAAGGTCGTCCAACGTCCTGAACCGCCCCAGGAAGCCTTGCTGCACGAACTTCTCCAGCTCGGTGTCCGCGTGGTCGTTCGGCTGGACGGGCCTGCTGTGCACCGCATCGTCGGCGAACGCTGCGTCGCCGAAACTGGGGCGATCGCGCTCGCTGGTCTCAGCGCAACGTGGGAACACTGCGTCGACCTCCCTGGGGAAATTGGTAACTCCAGCCGGCGCGCCCTCCCAACACCAAGTGGCCGCGCCTGCACCCGGGTCCCGGGCTACCACGGCCCACCGGTGCAGCAGCCGCGCACGTATTCCAGTGGAGTACAACTCCCCGTCGACGGCGCCGACGTCAGAACAACCCAGAACCCTGCCAAGCAAGTCCCGGGGTCGCCGAAGCGCCTCGTCGAGCCGCGCGCTCGCGAGCTGCAATGCATCGTCGCCCATGCGGCCCGACAGGAGCTCGGAGACGGATGGGACCAGCGCGGCATCTGAGGCAATCACCTTGTCCAGCAGCTGGTTCACAATGACGCCTGCCTTCAGGATGCCAGGCATACTTTGCACAGCCCGTGCACAGTCGCGCATGCCAGCTAAACAGTTCCAATTCTCCATCGCCTTGTCTTCGAGGTCCTGCCCCAGCCTGCCGCGGAGAGGGTTTGCGAACTGGACTCGGGGTAGGCCCGCGCGCTGAGCAGGCGGCCGAAGCACTTGCGGCGGGGGCGCAGCAGCGCCCCTCCGGCTAGCCATGATCGCGGCCACCACCGCGCGCGCGACCTCGAGATCGAGGTCCGCCTCGCGAGAGAAGTCCAGACGTAACCTGAAAGACTTCACAACCGCATCCTTCCAACAGCCGGCCCTCAAGACACGGCGAGGCAACCTGAAGTCAGCAACGCCAGACACAGAGTCCAGCTCCAGCACTTCCGGAAGCATGAAGATCGAAGGGCAACCCGTCTCCACCGCTGGCGCTTCCCACGCCCAGGGCCGACCTAGGTCGCAGAACGCCCGTGCTGCCTGTCTGGAGCGTAATGCCAACAACGTGCCCTTCCGAACAATCTCCTTGTCACGCGGACTCAGACCAGGAAGTCCGTAGATGTCTGGAGGGAGTTCGCCCCGTAACGCTGGTGGATCACGACAGCGGTCGCCGCCCTGACCGCCGCGAGCCACCCGAAAGGTAGAGCTCGGCGCAGCGATAAGGCACGCGTCGTAGATGCCACTCGAAATCCTGCCGGCGACGCCGTCCCAGACCGCATCCTCCAGAATGTCGCACTCCACCGGGTCGACCTTCAAATCGATCACGTCGACGACGCCACCCATGGCCTTCAAAACAGCGTCGACGCCGCCTTCGGAGCCGGCGAACCCCGCGAACAAGAACAAAATGCGGAAGCCGTCGACAGGCGGCGCAACTGCAGACATAGCAGGAGAAGCCGTGGAAAGAGGCAAAGGGATAGTCAACGGCAGAGAGGATCGCATCGAAGATGCTACGTGGCGCGATTGTCCCTCAGACTCCGGCTCTGCTGAGAGCGGCTCGGCCGGACCCTTCATAGGTTGCGCCGTCAAGCGCTGCTGTGGCATCGTTCCTCAATGCTGCCAGCCGCCTTTGTTCTTGCCCTTTCCGTTGCCTTTGCCGCCCTTCCCCTTTCCAGTGGCGCCGGGCTCGTGCGGCACCGCAGAGCACCCTGGGGAAGGATGCGACGCACCGTGCGCTGTACTCAAGCATTTGGCACATTGGTGCACGTGCCCGGACTGTTTGGGGCACCAAAGACCGCGGGAGGTGCACGCCCCGGTCTGGAAGTTACCGCAAAGTGGATATTCCCTACGGTTGTGGGTGAACACGCCGTCATGCACACGGTGGTACTTTTGGCCCTGTCCTCTGCCGCGTTCCTCACGCTTGCGCTTGCGGGTGTCCTGCGAGGACGCCGCGCCAGCGTTGCGCGGGAGAGGCGGCGTGGCCTTATCCACCAGCCTGTCCATGCCTGGACCGGCCATGCCCGCAGCACCGACGGGCGCGCCACCGACAGCGTCCGACAGCTTCCCCACTTTGGCGGCAATCAGCAAGGCCGGTTGCTCGAACTGCTGCTTCCACTAGTCTGAATCGTTCAAGGCGGCCAGCCAAACCGCGTCCCACGGCATGGCCCGATTGAAGGGGATCGCAGCCTCTTTGTTGAGTGCGGCCGCCTTCGCCGCGTCCTTCTCCAGCTGGCGTCGCAAGCGTTCCATGTGCTCCAGGCGGCAACGAACGTCCGCCTGATAAAGGAGCGGCCACACATCATGTCCGTACATCTTGACGTAGTTGCGGATCTTTTTGCCGTAGTCCAAAAGGTTCCCATACGACACGGCGTTGAAGCCGAGAAGACCCGTAACCAAGAGCGTGTAGCACTCAGACCACGCATCCACGTCCGGCGGGCCCACCAGCTCGACATTCGTGATGACCCCGTCGGAGGACAGCTGCATGCCCGTGAGCCGGATCTTCTTGCGCAACCTGTGGTGGAACGGACCCCAGACGCCGAAATCCATGTACGGGGCCACGTCGCGGGAGAGCATGGTGTGGAGTCCAGTCAACTGCTCTGTGGAGCACTCCTCCTCCGGCGCTGGCGGCCTCTTAAAGACCACCTCCACGGCCTCGAAGTGCTTCTTCAGATCTTCGGCTCCAAGGGCCGGGACCACGTCCTCAAGACCTTGGCTGACCACGGTCTTGAGCTGGACTGTGGCTCCACCGGCGGGCTTAGAATGCTCTGCTGCCTTGGCCGCCGCTTCTGCCGCTAGCTTGGCTTCCGAGACTGCCCGCGCAGCGACTGCCAGTGAGTCCGAGATCTGCTGGGCCTTCTCCTTGTCCTCGGAGTCCCGCTTGGCCTGCGCCTCCACAGTGCGGAGCTCCACCCCCATCGCGATGCGGCAGGCGCGGGCGAACAGAACGACTTTCGCCCTGTTCCCCAACTTCAAGAGGTCGCCCTTGATGCGCATCGTCATGACCTCGTCCGTGACCTGCGCCTCCGCGATGGCGGCGACAGTCCGAATGTTGTCCGCTTCCGTGATGCCGAACGCGTCGCACACGACGCCCTTGAGCTCCTCGGTGATGTCGGCCCAATCCAGGACCGCGCCCACCTTGTCGAAGGAAATACATTCCTCGGGAGTTGGCTCCATTGCTCCCTAGGCCCCCACCTGGCTGTGCCGAGCAATGTGGGATGGGAAGCAAAAGTGGCACAGATGCGCCCTGAGGTTCAATGCACTAGCTCGGGCCGTCATGGCACGGAGCCCGGAGCCCAATTTCAGGGTCACGGCGGGGAGCGCGGTTATCTTCGCGCCCGCACGGGGCCCCAGGAGGGAGGCAGCACGCCGGCCCAGGCCGCGAGGCGCGAGGCGCGAGGGCACGGTTACCGTCGCACCCCCAGCGTGTGACCAGGTATGGACACGTGCATTCACCAGGGCAGCTGATTACCAGAATTGGACAGCAGCGCTAAACAACACATGTTTATTCTCTCGGTGCGTGCCGCGGGCACAGGGCCCCTTGACACCACCCACCGCAAATGCGCCCACTACGCGTTGTGCGCTCCCTATCAAGATAGAACGCTCTCATATACATGTACATAGACATAGACATACACATACACCTATACATTTACATATACATATACACATACACATACATATACATATACATATACATATACATATACATATACATATGCATATACATAAACATATACATATACATATACATATGCATATGCATATACATATACATATACATACACACATACATATACCAATACAAATACATATACATATACATATGTATATGTATATACATATTCATGAATATACACATACATATGCCTATACATATGCATATACATGTACAGATACATATACAAATCCATGTACATATATACATATACATACACCTGTCAGATACATAAACATATACCCAAGTCCATACATGCACCTAAACATATACATAAACCTGTACATGTACAGTACATACACGTCACGTGCATACAACCATTCATTTTTACATACATACATGCACACATGGACAAATAATGTATTCCGACGCTTCTGGAAAGGTCTCGCATCAGCCTCACATGAAAAACTCGCGAGCAATGTCATCACGGCGCTGGGTGGTTTTCCATCCAGGACGCCGTGAGACAAACTGGGGCGCAGGGAGCCATGAAGAATGAATTACAAGAGAAGAGGAGGAACACGCGCAGCCTCCAAAGCGTACGGTTGGCATGGAAGAATAATATTTGTGCTGGCGTTCAGACGAAAGCCGATCCAGCCGCGCACGCAGGCCCACCGTGAAAGTCCCAGATCCGACATGATCAAATCGGGCTGATGCTACACACATCGGATGCTATGCGACCCTCGGTTATTCGGGGTGTGTCTGGCAGCGGCACTGATACGAAACACTGCTGGTACAAAAAGACAGAACCTGCATGTGTTCGTTTGGCGCCTTGCAGGCTGGAGCCAGGTAACATGTACTGGAGGAGGTCCACATGACCGGTGGCTTCCAACACGAAGACGTTCCACGAACAATGCTTGCACTTTGGGGTGTTTACTTCTATTCCATGGAACTGGGCAGGCGTGGCGGTCTGGCGGCTACGCTGTCGCCGTCGCCGCCTCGTCGCCGCCTCGTCGCCGCCCGTTGTCTGGGCCACTGTGACGTAGAGGTTGTGCGGCTATGTTGTCGCCGTGGCCCCCCGTCGCCGCCTCGTCGCCACGCTTCATCAGGGCCCGCGTAGCGGTCTGGCGGCTATGTTGTTGCCGTCGCCGCCCCGTCGCCGCCTCTACGCCGCCCCTCGTCTGGGACTGTTTGGCAGTTCGGTGCGGCAGCTTAGATCGTAAGTTTTGAAGGGTGAGAGGTCAGAGAAACAGGGAGGGGTTCGCTCAAGCTTTTTTGCTCAGCAACAACGAAGTGCACACGCGCGCGACGTCGCGCGCGCATGCCAAAATCCTCAAAGAACTTTGGGCTTCGGTTTCAAAACCGAATATCCCGAAAACATGTGAAACACATGTTTCCGCAACAAGAACTTTCAAACACAATTTACGCCCGCACTCTTGCGATCGCTTGAGAAAGCCGTCGGTTTTCAACAAAATCATACAGAAAGCTACCAAACGGGCCCTTCGCGCGCGCATGTCAAAATCGTTCGAAGGCCCCTGCGGGCGTGCTGTCGCAAGAACCCCAGCAAAAACAAAACGAAAAGCACACGCGCGTGTCGTTGCGCGCGCACGCCGCGATCCTTCAAAAATCTTAGGTTCTGTACGGACTTCAAGCTCGAATGTGCCGAAAACATTCCATACCACGTTTTTCGCAACGCCAGCCGCCAACCAAAAACAAAAATCACCACCATCTTCTACTGCTAGTACTACTGAGGCTACTACGACTACTACCACTACTAGTACTAGCACTAGTACTGCTATTACTACGACTACTACTACTACTACTACTACTACTGCTACTACTACTACTACTACTACTACTACTACTACTACTACTACTACTAC